ACAGTCAGGTATATAGGGAGAGTGGTGCTGAGCAGAATATGCTTAACTTTCTTGTTCAAGTCAGAGACTGAGTGCTTTAGAGCAGTGGTTTTCACACGCCAGTCTGCGGGAGACTTCCTGCCAGTCCGGGGGTGGGGGGCACATCCCACTAGCCACAGACTGGCATGGGGGCTGGCAATGCTCCACCACTTCTTCCATGGTTAGCATCATGTTTGTAGGGGAGCAGGGAGCTGGCTGGGAGCCACGCCGTGCCAATTTCAGTATTTTGTTCTTTTGTTGGCATTTTTTGCTGCTTGGTTTCTGGTTGTTTTGGAGAATTTTCATTTTTTTTGTTATTGTATTTGGAAACTAATACACAGAATACTGTATTGTGTGTAGGTGCTTTTCGTTTCTGCCTCAGTGGTCCCCAAAGTGATTTGCCTGTTTTCCCTAGTCCCCAGCTGTGGAAAGGTTGAAAACCTTTAGAGCACAATCCTATAAGGATGCCTGTGACCCTCCAAACTCATCAAAATAGGCATCCTATACAGGGTGGGAGAAGTACAAAAGTAATCTTTGTGCCCCTCTTGTTAAGCAATATGGGTAGGCAACCGGCTTTGGCTGGCTCACTGGGGGGGGGGCAGGGAGGGAAGGAGGCGGAGGCACTACCTGTTTATGTCGTATCTTGGCACTGCGGGTCTCCTTCCTTTCTGCCTCCCAAAATGCCCACTAAACCTCTTCTCTGGCCTCAGAGAAGCAGCCAACATGGGTTCTTTTTAAACTGCCCCTGGGTGATTTCCCAACCTCTGAACTGCCCTGGGACCATAAGGTTGCTCTTCCTCCTTGTGACATAGTTACAGGATAATATAGCTCCTTTCACACATTTAAATATGCAAAATGTTTTTTGAATGGAGGGTTCACAATATACCAGGGGTGGCCAAACAGAGGCTTGGGAATGGCATGCAGCTCCCTGAGTTCATTTTGTGGCTTGCTGCTCACCACCCAGGGCACCCATGAGCACCCACCTGCTGCCCACTGCTGCCATTCATAGGTTCCCAAGTGTTGTCACCAACCAAGGGTGCCCACTTGTGACTCTCAAGCATCTGACATTTATCATTTGTGGCTCTTCCGTTGAGCAAGTCTGGCCAGTCCTGCAATATACTTTTTCAGACATGTAGCACCAAAAATGCATACTTTAGATCAGTTGCTACTTTTGGATTTTGCACAAACTAATTAAATACCTTATAAATACATGCTTGATAATGTATTTATTAACTCTGCTTTGAGGGTCCTTCCTTCTAAATTTTGTTCCTGAACTTTAGATTGTCCCTCCTGCTAGATTATAAAGGAAACAATATTTAACCCATTGTTATATAAAGGAATAACTAAGCACTGGAAACTAACTTTGGAAAGCAACTGGAATCTCTTTTGCTGGTCACTGGGTTGATTTTTCTGCCCCCAAACCCAAAAAGCACTCATGTGGAGCTGCACAAACTGGGAAAATCAGAAACTGGGCCTAAGGTATAGTCAGACAGCTAACAGTAGTGTGCATAGTATTTCTATCCTTTTAGAGCTGTTGTCATTCTTTGCCACTGCTAAGCATTCAAGAAAAAGAATAGCAACTGTGATAGTGATTCTGATGAGTGTTTTAAAAAAGTAGGGTAACTGTTCAGACCACATAAAGTTATCTCTTTATTTCACCCTGTTGCAGTAAGCATTCAATCCTGCTCTATTTATGATAATAACTACAGAATAAAATGTGTTTCTTTATTCCTGGGTGGGCAGAGAATGAAACTGAAAGTTCAAGGTGTGGTGTCTGACTCTAGGCCATGAGAATCCTTGGTTATTTCATTTATATTCCACCCTTTTTCTCCTTGTGAGGAACCCAAGGCAGCTTACATGGTTTTCCTCCTTTCCATTTTATCCTAACAAAAATTCTGTAAGGTAGGTCAGGCTGACTATATAGACTTTTTCCAGGATTACTTAATTATAGGATTATTTTGATCATTAAAAATCCACCCTAAGTCAGGGAAAGTCTTGAGTTAGCAGACTGCTGGGATTTCTTCCAGATGAAGCTTCTCCTGTATACACGCCCTGCCTTAGCTACTGAATTTTTCAAGGGGTTCTATTCTTGCATTATTCCTTTTCTTAAAACAAACTTTCATTCCTTGTTCTTGTCTGGCATGTTACAAACTAAAAAAAAAGGGGGGGGGTCAAAAAATTGGGGTGGGAGGTAAAGCACAGTTCAGTGGGGACAGTAGCTCATCTGCCTTACCTACCCCCTAAAAAGACTTAAAAGAAAAAAGACCTGCTCCTGAGGCAGGTACACTTGGGTTGGGGAGGGGATTACAGTAAGGAGAAATGTAGGGGATGGAAAGTTTACATTGTGTGTGCCTGCATAGTTTGCCCTTACACAAGCATTAACTAATAAATGAAATCACTATTTCCTCTCAAAGCACAGGTGAAGGGAGGGTCCCAGCATTTTGTGACTAACTGCATATTACTATACTAGATGTTTTATAGTGTTGCCCACAACACTTTTTAAAAATCCCAGCTAGGCCTAGAAAGGTTAGGGGACTTCTATCTCCTAGGTGCCACAGTAGGTAAAAGCAACAAACTCCCTTGTGGCACCTTAAAAACAAACAAGTAAGTTGTAGCATAGGCTTTCATAAGCCGCAGTCCTTTCAGATGGATACATGAATTGTTAGACAGATAAATATAGATGGGTACAGGCAGAACAGGGAGATGTTATTACAAAGTGAGGCCAGAAGGCCTAGCAATATCCTATTACTATTCAGAGCACAAATGCTACTTGGATTCAGTCAAAAGAATAAGAGTGCAATCCTCAGAATGCTTAGACAGAAGGCTTACAACTCCCAGCATTCCCCAGCCAAGTATGCTACCTGAGGAATTATGGGGGCTGCAGGACATTTTCCACTCTAAACATGCATAAGACTGAACTAAAACAGCCAATCAGTATTGGCCGTAACTCACTCCTAACAGACTGGCAAGCAGTAGCCTATGCACACCAGTTTCTAGGGAACTCTGGCTGGAGGGTATTGTGGCATTGATATCCTGTTTATGGGATCGTTTGGACAGCTGGTGGCTGCTGGGTGAACATAATGTGGGACTCACTGGACCCCTAGTCTGATCCAGCAGGAGGTTTCTTATATTCAAGGAACAGAGCAAAAAAATTCAGAAAAAGTCAACCAAATTGATTGCCCTTGGTGGGTGGGGGGGTGGGGAGAATTGAAGGAAAGGTTCATTTGAGCCTATTTAGTTAAGAAAAAAAGTGAGTTAAATGGAGACATAACGGAAGTGTATAAAATAATGCATAATGTGTAGAAAGTAGGGAGATTTTTTTTTCCCCTCTCACATAGCATATCCAATGAAGGGAACAGCAGTAAACTCAGGACAAACAGAAGGAACTACATCAAGTCCTACTTAGTTGTCCTATGGAATTTGCTGATACATGATGTGGTGACAGCTACCAAGCTTACATGGCTTTAGAGGAAGGTTAAATTCATTAGAGACATACGCAGCCACTTGTTATGATATATCCTAGAGCAAAGGTAATGCCTTTAACAGATACCATCTGCAAGGGGAGAACACTGAAAGAGAGCTATTACCCTCATATCCTCTTTGTTGGAAACAGGATGTTGGACTAAAGAGGTCTTCAGCCCAGGGGCTGGGTGGAAGTTAGATGACCAGATCTTTTGGGCTTCAGGTCCCAGAAGCCCATGTCCACAAGGGCAATGGCCAAGAATACTGGGAATTGTCGTACAAATCATCTAGCATTCTGCTCACCCCAGCTTTAGATTTATCTAGCAGGACTCTTATATTTGTAGTGCATGAAAACATACTCAGAGGCCAATTGCTTCCAGCAATAAGTTAGCCACTTACAAAGGAACAGTCCTGTAGTCTATCACAGAAAAAATCAGAAAGTCTCTGGCATCTTAAAAACTCTGTTAGTCTATTGGGTGCCAAGAGAATGAAGGAAAGTAGGTTCTAGGCCAAACCTACTCTGTTTTCTATTTAGCACAGGTTTGATGATGATCTTCCCTTCGATTTTTTTTTTTTTTAATGAATGGCAACTTCTGAATCTTTTGCTCCAGGAAAGTGCAACTTTGTCTCCTCTGAATGGAACTCTATGTACGTCTACTTGGCTGTAGAAGTCATCCTGAATTCAGCAAGGCTATGCATTAACGAACAGTCCAAAGTAAGTGGACACAGAACTGCAGCATTAATCATCTTTTGACAGAGTTACACTGAATGACACAAGTCAAACCAATTATGTTAGACACTACTGCATCCTCCAAGTCCTTTTTGTGACTTGAATGAAGGTAGATAACCCGTGCCATATTTATACCCAAGTAGCTCTTGCTGTAAGATGAGCTGACTTAGAAATCCAAAGTTTTACATTCATTCATTCATTGGTTTACAACCACCCTGAACTGCTCGTTTACTGTTATGCACTGCCTTGGGGTGAAAAAAGGAAGAGGATTGGGAGAAGGAAAAAGAGGGAGTGTACCCTAATTAAATGACAGCTTTTATTACGGAAATTTCTATTAAACCCCATGGGTTAGTTTTACGCTTCCTGAAGTACAGCTGTATGCATGTCTACTCATAAGTAAATCCTAAACTCTAGCCCGTAATAGATATGATTGTAATTAAAATCTTTGCCTTCAAGTCAGTATTTATTCACATGGAAGCAAACCCCATTGAATTCAGTGGGGGCTTGCCTCTCAGTAGGCAGGTATAGGACTGCGCCTGAACCCAAAGAAATAGGGTTCTCCTAGAGAGTAAACATATAATTGCACAGCAAGGCTCGAAAAGGCTCATATAACAGAAAACAAACACACGGTTTGTCACACAACGACATCCCGCGATAGCTAGCCAAATCGTTGCAGTGGTGCGCTTTGCTTTTCACTAAGCTTGGGACTTGCAATTCGGCGATGCCCGTGTAAATAGGTAGCAAACAGCTGGTTATCCAGCTAACTGTTGGAAATATGTCTGAGACTCACCGAATCAGAAGGACAAGATTAAAATACAGCAGTAGGAAGAGAGCGACAAATCGCCGAGATCACGCCTCTTCCCTGGGCGCCGCCATGTTGGAATTTCTTACCATGAACGGCAACTTAATTGGAACGCCTGCGTGTCCCGTAACAGAGAAAAGCTAGTAAAAGAGAGGCTGGGGGAGCGACTCTTCATTTGCAATTCCTTATTACCTAAGCTAAACTAGCAAAGCAGAACGTCCTCACCCCGATTTAATCAGCAGTTAACCCCACTGATTTCAACGATTCAGTCAATAAGGTTACAGTTTTAATGCACATTTACTGTCAACTCATTTGATTTCAGTGCTGTATTTCCAAATACACATGTGTAAAATCACCCAGTTTACCTTTTCAAGATCGGATCCCTTATTTGCATTTTGAATCACTTGCCAACAAATAAATACATATTTGTCTTCTGCAGCCTTATGACCACTACATGAGAAATGGAGTGTGGTGGAACCGTACTGTTAATATGGCAAGAGTCAAAATGTTACATTCAGATAGGTTAGTCGCTTTAGCCTGTACCAGCAAAAACAAAACACGCAGAGTCCTACACATTTACTTTGGTACAAGGTTTGATTAATGCTATCTGCTTCAAGTGCCCACTTAAGTAACACCGAAGCTTATGCTAGAGTGAATTCATTAGATTTTAAAGTGCCCCCAAACGTTGCATATTGGGTTAAAATTTATGCATATTGTAAATTTTACATTTACAATAGCCTCACTGAAGTTCACAAGACATGAACTGGGGAAGTTGAAAGAGGATGTGGCTTTTCAAACACCTCAGTTTTAGGTTGCACAAGAGCACAAAATTAAATGGGGGTTTCTAATTGGAACACTGCAAAAGTAAGCCAGTTCTGAAACCGTTGTAAATAGTGTAAAATTATAGCAACCAGCTGTGGATAATTTTCCATACCACAAGGGCAACCACCTCTGCAGGATTAATAGAAACTAGGGTACAGGGAAATTTGGGCCTAAGGGATCTGGGTTCTAATTGCCACTGGGCCATGAATCTCTTGGATGATATTGGGCCAAGTCATTGCCTTGCAGCCTAACCTACCTTATGGGTTTATTGTGAAGTCAAAGCGGAAAGGATTATATAAACTGACCTGGGTTCCTTGCAGGAAAAAGGTGAGATATAAAATTAATTAACAATTTAAACAAATACACAGAAACCCTCCCCAAGTGCTACAGTCCACAAGTATGGGCCAGCGCGTCTGCGGTTAAAATTCCTGTTCAGCCACTGGATGACCTTGGGCCGTTCAATTTAGCCAACTGGTAGATGCAATGCAATATTGTGATGACGTTCTGTGAGGTTTATCCACCAATTAATTTAATCAGCCAGGTTATTAATAGGCAACAAGTAGAGTTCCGATGCTGAAGATGACAAGGCTAAATTTCTGCAGAAGAACGGGGCTTTGGCAGGGGGTGGCGTGTAGTCAAGCACCGGTGAGCCGAATTCCATCCACTCAAATTCATTTTTCTCTATAATACAACCCGTGGCGTACAGGAAGTTCAGTTCTGTTCGCTCTTGTGGCTGAGCTCGCTAACCAAAAATAACCTGCCGGTCGCTGGCAGCTCTGCAGTATATCGCTACACAGGCACAATGCGGTTAAATCACTTGTGGAATTCTGACGTTGCAGATATCGGGTTTTTGTTCCCTCGTGCATGGACCAACACGACTATCTTTCAAAAAAAAAAGGAAATAAAATGCTATATAAACTCCATGCTAACGGTTTATGTCGGCAGCTTCTTGCACCAAAAAAATAAATTAAAAATGCTATATGGTTTCGCAATCAGGCTGGAAAGGATCAGTTCAAGGAATGGAGGGCTGCATCTGCCGAAGTGCACTCCGATAATGAATAGGGCTGCAGCGCATTCGTTGGAAATTGCCCGGGTCTGCACGTTGTATCAATGCCAAGGGGAAATAAACGGCAGTTCAGAGGTAAGCCAGTCTCCAAGCTGTCTTTGCCACCAAAGCTGTGGGAAAGCTCCGCCCAGTCTCTTGCGCCCCCGCGGGTTCCATTGTGTCTATTGCCGCCGCCTGCCCTTTAGAAAGGTGGCCGCCTCCGGCTTCAACTCGGAATCGGTTTGCTCAGGCCCTTGAATCCTATTAGAGAGCGGTGGAGGGGGCGGGGCCTCGTTGATAGCCGCCGAGACCTTCCTAAGGGTTATGTAAAAGACTGCGAGGGCGGCAAGGAGAGTTGCAACAATATTGGTACGGTGGAGTTGTGCAAGCAAGGATCTGCAGGGAACCAGGAGGCAGAGAGAAGGGTAAGCAAAACATCCCTTTTTCACTGTTAAATCCAAGGCGTAATATTGCTAGGACTGTCGTTATTATTGTGTAAAGCACGTTGATTGATGCTATATAAATAATGCTCCCTGTGGACAAGCAATAGCATCTTTTGGGAATTCGCTGCTACCGGTGCAATAATCTTGCTGTCCAGTCCACCGTCTCCCAAAGGGATTGCCACTTTCAAGTTTTCCATTCTGAGATTTTTATGTCAACTGCAGAGGTCTCACCTTGTAATATTTAAAACAAAAATAAAAATCAGTGTACTCTAATGCTTGTGAACCCTGTAAACCAAATTAAAAAATGGATGAGAATGTTATTTTTTTGAGGGAGAGGAACTGACATGCAACATTTAAAAGCAGCTCACCAAAGTTAATAATTTCTTACATGTTTGAAAGAAGCAACCTTTAGTCAAGGAGGAAAAGGTAACTGAAGGACTGGAAAGTTGACATGTAACTTGAGCTACATATCTATGAAGCTTCTTTAAAGAGAAATTACAATTCTGTCAGAAGAAGCTGCAGATCCTGAATTTTTCTGAAGATTAATTATATTGCACATTAGTTTACCTAAATGTAAATTGGAGAAGTTATTAAAAATTCTGCTCATTTCAATGGTCACATTAGGAGGTGCAGTTAAACTGGGAAACTCCTAGGTGGAAAGTCTTCCACAGCTACAAAAGATCAGATAAGCATCTGCTGAAGTAATCCTTAAAGTACACAGCACAGAGGAAAACCACAAGGATTCTTTTATGGATGATCAGGTCATCTTCCAGTGAAGAAATGCTTCATAAACAGTAATAAGGTGGCCAATATAATTTCCCTCTCTATCCAAATCTATTGCTTATAAAACAGTCACCCACATGCAAGATGGTGGTATCACCAAACATTGGAGAATCCTGAGGTTTTTGTGGAAGCACAAACATTCCTTAGGAACCTCTCCTCCACATTAAATGTTGTTGGGGGACTTAAAGAGCCCAGTGTAGAAGGAATGTGCTCAGTGGGCATGGAAAGCAGGCTGCCTGTTGAAGCAGGGGGAGCAAAAAGCAAGGGAGGAGTGCTTGGAATCCCAAACAGCAGCATTCCACGCTGTAACATTGTGTTACAGACCCCCTATAGCCAACATTCCATCACATTGTAGAAAAAGGATCCAGGATGGGGCTGGATAGATAGAAACTGGCTTGATTCTCAGTGGCTGCAGTCATCAGAAGTTTCCCCAGTTGTTGACACTTTGTCTTTTCCTGTAACATAACGGTGGATTCCTTATTTGGAGGAAAGTACAATGATGCCCTTCCTTGATAGTATTGTGTTGAGGCCAAAATCTTCTCTCCATTTTTAGCAATGACTGGCTCAGTCCCTGCAAGTGGGAGCTGAACATACAGGATATAAGGAAATGCACTGCCAGGAGTTCTTGCAATATATTGGACCTCCTTCCATGTGAACAATGCTGTCTTGAATTCCAACTGTGCAGAGGTTTTGCATTTATGCAGTTGGAGTTGTGTACAGTTTATACACTAGTAAATGAAATGACACAACATTGTACCTACTTTCTGACACCGGTCTCCAAATTCTTGTTTGTAAAAGTAATGTGAGAACCAGCTCTTGGTGAGAATACAGTTGCAGCATGGATCAAAGTGACTCATGCTGCAACCGAACACCAAAAGGTTTTTGGCTGACATTCCTAGACAGTTCCCATGTACACATTCTTCCATTTATCGCAATGGCGGCTGTATTTTGGAGCTTTGACTCTAGTCAGAAACACAGTACTGTAGTTTAGGATCATATTTTACCTGTGCTCCAGCCACATGTGCAAAGTTGTAACTTAAACCTGGTATATTTGAGCCTATGGGGTTTTTGGGCTGAATCCATCCTAAAACAGTTCAAATAAGGGCTCGGGAAGAGAACCCGTGCTTTCCATGCACAAGGTTCTGGCCCATTCGCCTGCATGCTCAGATAAACTTTGTCTTCATCTGCTTCTTCTGTCATCGCTGTGATTGTCTGCATCATTTCCTTTGCCCAACCTCTACCTGTGTTCATTATTTTTTATTATTATTATTATTATTATTATTATTATTATTATTATAACATTTCTATGCCGCCCCTTGCCGAAACCTTGGGGCGGCTTACAACACAATAAAATACATTGAAATACAATAGTACATAATAAATTACCATTAAATAAAAAAATACAAAAAATACATTGATTTACAAATATAAAATTAAAATTATCAGTATAAAATAAGTAAATAAAAATATAGGAGGAGAAAGAGAAGGAAGAAGAAGTTGCCCTGGCCAGATCATATGTTTTAACAATTAAAATGATGTTTAAATAAAAAGGTCTTTACCTGGCGCCGAAAAACCAGTAACGACAGTGCCAGGCGGACCTCTTTGCGGAGTGAATTCCATAGGTTGGGTGCCACCGCAGAGAAAGCCCTCCTCCGAGTACTTACTCTCCTAATTTCTTTCATGGAGGGTTCCCGGAGAAGGGACTCTCCCGCAGATCTCAAAGGGCGGTCGGGCATATACGGACATAAGCGCTCGTTCAGGTAGCCAGGACCCAAGCCGTTTAGGGCTTTATAGGTCATAATCAACACCTTGAATTGGGCCCGGGCTTCAATGGGAAGCCAGTGAAGCTGACGGAGGACTGGAGTCATGTGAGCATAACGCCCCGTCCCCGTCAGCAACCTGGCAGCTCTATTTTGCACCAATTGAAGTGTTCGGACTGTCTTCAGGGGAAGCCCCGCGTAAAGCGCGTTACAGAAGTCTAGGCGGGAAGTCACCAGCGCGTGTGTCACTGTCGCCAGGCAGTCGTACTCCAGGTAGGGGCGCAGCTGATTAATCAGCCGAAGCTGAAGGAAGGCGTTCCTCGCCACCGCTGTCACCTGAGCTTCCAAAGAAAGCTCCAGGTCGAGGA